TATTTAATATGTTAGAAATCGTAAATGTAGGTACGTAGGTAAACGTATTTTCATAAAACTTCTACTGTGCAATTATAGTCTTAGGATTAACGAATTAAGTACATATACAAATTTTAAAAAAAAAATTAATGTTAGTACATACATACATATTGTAATCTCCTAACTAGCCTTATTAAGATTTTAGTGAAATATTGTTAAGAAAAGTGTTCAAGGTTGTAAACTGATAAATGGTTCCTCGAGCATGCTTTATTTTCTATATCATCCAAAGTGACCAAAGTATATCCTATCAATCCCATTTATTGTTTGTTTTTTTTGCAGAATTGGGTACTTTAATCAAAAATAATGTATTTCGATTGTTCAATATAATAAAATATATAAAAAATCACACTTTCATTAGGTAATTGATTTTATGACCAACCTAATTTTAGTGTTTTACCCGCAAATATTTTAAGAAATAAGTATACGCTAAAAACGTGACGTCACAATACACAATCACGAACAAAATTCATAGAAAACTGTCGTTTTATACAGTTCAAAAAATTATTGAATTTGATTAGATGGCAAGTACCCAATTCTGTTTGATGCCAATTTACAGATACTTAATTATTTATTTAATTACCTAGTTATTCTGTGAAACTGCAATACCAAGCTTTATTCCCAAGCCATCCAAAATAGATATTATTTGGGTCCTATCCTGTATTTATTTGATTAGGAATTTGAAAAGTTTAATCTAATTGTATCTCTGTGACTATGACCGTGCTTGGAGACCGCCGGTAATGTCGATAAGACGAGCAATGCATACCATGCGACTATGTGACCTCGATAAGTAAGTACGGATAGTGTAAAAACCCTAATTCAAGGGAATGGTAGATTTACAGACAGATACAAAAAAGGAAAGAAACTCTTCTTTTTTCGAAGAAAAAAAAAGGATGTTTTGCTTTTATTAACTTTTTTGGAATTCGCCCACAACTGTTATGAATATCTGTTATCAACTGTTATGAATATCTGTTATCAACTGTTAGGAATAGGAGTCAGAGACATAGTAGGAGTATGACAACAAATAGACGTTAATTGTCCTTTTGTTATAGTAAAAGTAAAAGTTATAGTATTCAAACTATAAATGGTTCAATGGTTCAATTATTACTGTACCTGCATATCTCATTGTGACGATTCTTAAAATACATAAATCAAAAATGTCTGTCTGTGTTCAATGATTAATTAAATTAGGTGCTGACATACTTTATACTCATCAATCATGATTGTTTTTAATTATTATTTAACAAGCTACTGGCCGCTATGCACTTAATTGTTAATATTAGTTGACACACGTCCAGACTTACATAGAAGTCTGGACGTGTCTGACTCATACTTTAAAGACAAATTTTCTTTAAGAGGGAGAATCGGAATCTACAACATATCTACAAAACGCCAGAAATTTTATTAGCCCTGTATAATAGAGGATGAACGCAACACAATATGTGTAAGATTAGTACCACTGAATATTATACACTAAATAAAATCAATCATTTACTTACGAAGTTTAGTACTCATACAGTTTAATACGCACAAAAACTTATATAGACAAAGTTTACCACTACCTTCTTAACATATAAAATTGATTTTATTTGACGTAGGTAACATTTAAAACCTTCTTTCCGGACAAACAAATTGCGTCGTTCCCTTATTAAATGTAATCTCATATATTATAGAACATAATTATTATGTATCTACCTATAATTGCTACTTAGACACACCGTATATCCATATGTAGGCACTCAAAACTTACTTAGTAAATAAATATGTACATAACTCAAATAATTGCTTTATTTTTATTCGATTTTTTCGACACACCCGATCAATATGGTAGGTAAGGTCTAATTACCATAACCACTTAATGTTCGCTGGCCACTGCTTGTTGGTTTTTGTGTGATTTATCTAGATAATATGTATGCTGTAACTAATTATGTTCAATGATAATTTGACTTAAGTAACAATTAAGTTTTATACGTACCTACAATAACTCATAACTACGCTATCAATCATTATCTTGACCTCGATCGATATGTAGATAAGTAAACATTATTTGTTAAATACATACATACATAGGTATGTAGGTACATTACTTGAGAAATCTTAAGAAAGTGGAAGGTTAAACGAATTGTACATCATGTGCACACTAAGTATAACGTCACTACATAACATTATCACCCCTTTTATCCCCGAAGGGGTAGGCAGAGGTGCACATTATGCCACTGTACAATGTAACACCCACTTTTCACTATTCATGTTATGAGACCCATGTAATAGGCCTATTGCCATATTATACCGGGCACAATTCCAGGCTCCGTGCTGCTACTGAGATTTTTTTAAAACCCAGTAATACTTTGCCCGACCCGGGAATCGAAGCCGAGACCCCTTGCCCGGCAGTCGCACTTGCGACCACTCGGCCAACGAGTCAACCAGTCAACGTCAGTACTTAGGTACCTACAATAATTTTTGTCAGTTAGTCATATTTTATCGATAGGTAAGATACTACATACAGGCCATAGTAGCAAAGATCGAAGTAATCAGTTCTGTCATCATTTTCATCTAGTATCGTCTATCATCAATAACGGAGCACGAAACTACAATGAACGACTTTGTGCTACCGGAAGTTCTAAAGAATGAATAAAATCAGTTGCCACCTTTATAACAAATAGTTACCTGTATTTTTTAAATTGCGGGTGTCCATAAAATTATATATCATGAACTTCTACCTTAACCTAAAGAACAAGGAAACAAACTCATTGGAACAAACGTGTTGAAAGAATTATCTGAAACAAATCATTTAAAATGTGCATCAAAATTATTTACTGTTTATTTTTCATTGCTGTCGGTAAGTACCCTCGATATGATGACTCCCAATGCTTGCCGAAACAAAAGGAACTAATTTATTAACCTAACATACCAGTACCATGTGGTGTTAACATGTAATTGATCATATTTAATACACAGATAATTAACGCTCAATAATTAGTCGACCCTTGATTAAAACTTGGAAAGTTAGTACTTAAATAACACTTCGGATTGACTGCCTGCTAAAATAATTACATTACAGTACAATGCCAAGGTGCTACAATGAAAGTGGTTAATTGTTTTTGACTGAGCTGTTAATTATGTTGACTGCACGGTTGGTGCGGTGGCTGGGCAACTGACTGCCACGCAACATGTCACGTATTCGATTCCCGCACGGACCCTTTGTGTGATCCGCAGATAGTTGTTCGAAGACTGGGTGTCATGTTTATGTGAACTTATATTTGTAAACGCACCCACAACTCAGGAGAAAATCCTAGTATGGAGCAAAATGTTTAAAAAAAAACTATAAACCGAAGTTGACACTCATATTATTATATGTGTTTAACTTGTTCTCAATACCTCTAAATTTGTATATACTAAATCCGTTTGGTGCATTGGTAAACCACCAATTTCATTGGATGATAGTGAAACAAATTTTCATCGAAGTTACAAATTATTTTTCTAATATATATGTGCATATATTATGCTTTAATTAATACCTCGAAGGCCTTGGCAATTGCAATCTACTTTGAGATTAGTATTGGTAGGTATCTACCTAAGATACCTACCAATTTAAATAAAGCTCTAGATAAAACTCATTTAATTGAATTAATTATAGGCAGTCCCTGTCATTTAAAAGCAGTTGATTGACGGCTACACATTTTTCGACAAACATCAGCTTCTAGAACAAATTTCTATTAAAAACCAAAATGTTTTTTGCAGTGTCAGCGCGGCATACAGTACGCTACGATGAACTTGATGACGAAGACCACCATTTGCTGCGAGCGGCGTATGAGACTCCTTCCTACGATCACGACGAGTACCAAGAACAGGATGACATGTCCCTAGGCAAGCTGGACTTGCTAAAAGACGGGCTGTGGGCTGTTAAGGCTAAGATAAAAGAACTCAAAGCTTTTAATAAAGCCATGGCAGCTAATTTTCTGGCTACCAAGCTAAAGGTGAAAGAATTGCTGGCGAACAGCATCCCTTTGAAGAAACATCATCATGCGGATAAGAAACCGTCGTATAATTATCAGGTAGGACGTTTTGTTTATTGCTGTCGCTTGCCACTTGGTAAGCTCCTAGCAGCATATCGCATCTACCTAAGCATTATGGGCTAATTTGTAGCTCTTCTTATTACACTGTTATTCACCTAAATTTAATCTGTGATTAAACTCCTAATCCCCATAAGGCCAGTAACGCACTTGTAACGCCTCTGGTGTTCCTGGTGTCTATGGGCGACGCCGATTGCTTACCATCCGGTAATCCGTCTGCTCGTTTACCGGCTTATGCCATAAAAAAATTAAATTACAGATTAGGTAATTAGATAGACATTGTTTTTTCGACATTGAAACTAAGTTCGTGCGATAAAGCATTTTCGGCGAGACCGCAACACCAAATTAGTAGCGACTGCATACCATAAAATCAGTAATAAGTGGCAATTAAATCACGTCAGAATCGTGGGCGACTTGCAGATGTAAAATGTATTGTATACCAGTTTCCCTTCCGCACTATATCCACTTACTGTTAGATACGTACATAACGGGTGCATAGTATGCATATACCTATATCTACCTTAGTAACAAGTGCTTATTATTTAGCAATGGCACACCGTATCCTTTAATTACCAAACAAGATTTTTCCACTACCTAAAAGATAAATTACATTTTAACTCGTCGAGTACCGGTTTTGTAGACACAATTATAGAACAATAGGTTGCGGTCACCGGTGACCGCTTGGTGTTTGACAGTTTAACCGACTTCAAACTTCGACTTTTAGAAAAAAGGAGGTCCTAACTTTGACCTGTACGTCAGTGTACGTATGTATGTATGTATGAAGTAGCTGAACCGATTTTGATGCGATTTCAGCAAAGTGTTTGTTATATTTGGGAGAAGCTTTCAGTATATTAATTCTCGTCGAGTACCGGTTTTGTAGACACAATTATAGAACAATAGGTTGCGGTCACCGGTGACCGCTTGGTGTATGACAGTTTAACAGACTTCAAAAAAATTGGGAGTTGAAGTCGATTATTTTAAACGTAGTTTACAAAACAATCTTGAATTGTATATATTTTTATTATAATAGTTTTATTCTATTTATATTACGTAACTAAAATGTGAATAAACCTGACGTCATTTACAGGCTCCATCATATCAGCCACAGTACTCGGCACCACAGTACACAGCGCCGGCGCCCCAATACCCCGCACCTCAGTTCTCCGTGCCTCAATACTCCGCGCCCCAGTACTCTGCGCCCCTGCATGTGGAGCCGCAGTACATCGAGCCCCACAACCCACAATACGTGGATCCCCAGTACGCACCCGTACGGCATCAACACGATCCCTACTATGGACATTAAGACTATCAGACCTTCTTTTGCCTTGCATAATTTATTTATCAAATACCTTTTAATTTTGTCATCGCTCTATATTCTTTAGCAAAGAAAAAGGGTTGATGTTAATATTTTATCATTATTCGTTATCCAATGTTCAATTTTAATTATGTACTTACATTGTTATCGCTAATAAACTATTCTTGTACTTACTAAGCTCTTTGTCTCATCGTAGACGTAAGTCGATTGATATTGGCGTGCCTTAAGCGTAACACGTCATAAGAAAGTGCATTAATAAAATAAATTCTTAATTGTTAAGGTCACCAGTACTGTTGAGTGGAGTAGTTGAACGCGGCGCGCGCGCAGGCCACTCGTGTAGTAGAAGCGAATCGCTTTTTCGAGTCGAAAATCGAATCAGAGGAAATCGCTTAGTGTTGCATCGAGTCCTGGTGCCTGCACCTCCACATCCCGATGTGCTCCCAGTAACCCCTGCCTCCCAATAAGATGTGTTTGTTAGCTATTCCTGTCAGAGTGGACATGTCATTATCGATACAGTAGAACTAACTAGTGTGTTAAGGTGCGCCGTTATCCTGCTGCGAAATGAATTACAACCTATTATGGATTGTCCTTCTGGTATGGTTTAATTATTGTTTATTGTTTGTTGCATGTTTTAGGAAGGAACGACATCTGGATGATGGAAACCACCCAAATGTGTCCTAATGTTAATTAGGATAGATACAATCACCATTTTCCCTTGACGGTCACCGGTGACCGCAACCTATTGTTCTATAATTGTGTCTACAAAACCGGTACTCGACGATTTTAATTGTTAGATGCAGTCTTCAATGGTGTGGATAGGTGCATGGGTTATCAGCAAATAGCTACTGATTACCCATGCTTATGTCGATACTTAGTTACCTGCTCTGAAAAACACTGCAAGTAATGTTTATGCAAATATTCTTCAAATAAGCACAAACAACAGTCTCCGTTAATTTTCTCCATATGAGTGTAACATTTAACTACCTACAGTTTTACTTAAATCAAAACTTACAATGTTTCATTAATTTAGTATTGATTAAACTATGACAAGACTGGTAGCTATAGCTACCAAGGAATAATTAATAAAACTAACGGAAGTTAACTACCCCTACCCTTAAGGTTTGAGAATTGCCAAATTACGAATTAACTCGTCGAGTACCGGTTTTGTAGACACAATTATAGAACAATAGGTTGCGGTCACCGGTGACCGCTTGGTGTTTGACAGTTTAAGAAAGGTAAAAGCTTGTTGGTGTGGTTGGTTGGTAGTATTAGGGTGCATAAAAGGTATAATATACCATGATAAATATAGGTAATGTTTACACTGAATTGTGTAATTCAAAATGTATATTATATTTATTTATGCTATTTACATAAATGCAAAAGAAGATCAATATCTCTTGCCAGTCTCTTTAATAGGTATGTAATGGGTCACCTCTTCTCCCTTACATAGCATCACGCATGACAGACGGATGGGCATCATAAGGTTCAGAATTAACAGAGATGTCTGCTGCCCAGTCTCGTTCAAGATGTCGGCCACTTAGTCGACAATTACGTCACCAACGTGAAAGTAGGGCTGATAATGGTAAAAATTGTACCTATTGAACACTGCTATCGCCATGCATCAATGCTAATAGTAGGTAATCAATAAAAATCTCATACGATGAAGCAGAACAATGTAAAATTCTGAAGAAACAAAAACTCGCATTTTTATTATCTACACTTTTAATAGCTTGTCATTTCAGCAAGGTTGATGAATAAGATTTAAATTAAATATTTATGTAGGTTGTATTTACATTCACATAGGTACCACAAATATCATTCGATCTATTTCTTCGTTAAGAATGTTGCAAAGCTTTTAAAACAAGAGTTCATAAGCTATTATGTCATTATGCAAACTATGTGAGCGTGATCATGATCGCAATTCCTCAAAGAATGCTCAAGATGCATACCTAGTATCTAGTCTGTTGAACTTGAAATCCTTACTTACCTATATCTCATATATCTGTACACTACAACGAAGTGACTATGTATCTGAGACTAGTTTAACGTACCTATAAACCCAGGGTATAAAAATAGAAATCCCTTAGCAACATGTGTGTGGTTGCAGCGCCCTTTGCAAGTTCAAAGCGAATATAATTGTGTGATAAATGTCAGAGTGATCTTTAAACAAACTGGATCGACGGCGCACACTAATTTCATTTCATCTGAGGGCGAAACGGGTCTAGAGCACTTCCTGGTCTTTTTATAAAATGGCATCAGGTAGGCGTGTATGTATATTTATGGGCGTATTATTGTTTTACAGTCTCCATTTTATCTGCAATATTATCAGTTTAAGCCATCAGACGGCAGGCATCGGAACGTATCGTATGATTAACTAAAGATCGTAATTTTTACTTTTACAACCTTTCGTAAAGTTATGTACGAGTATGATGTACACAAAGCACCGCTAATTAGTTCGAGGCGCTACACATCGACATTACTATCATTTACACAGTGAACATGTGTGGGTAATTTCATATTAATAGATATGTATAGAAACATTCGTTCTATCACACACATCTTGGTATTACATATCATTTTTGTGTCGGTATACGTAATATTTTAGTAAATAAGTTTAAATAAAAACGAGGGTAAAGATAAAAATACTCATAACAAACTTTGAATAAATCGAAATCAAAAATAATGAACGATCGAGCAATACAATACTTATATAAATATAGTGCATTCTCATTGTATTTTTATGTTACTGAATGATATACAATATTTCGATATTCTCATCTACGGCGCGCTTGGCGCAATGGTTATCGCCTCCAGTGGTCAAGTAAAGTGCCACCGGATCGATTCCAGCATTCACATGTTGTTTTAGTATTAATTAATCAAATATTTGAAATATTTGAAAAATTAGAAATAATTAAATCTTTTCTTTTTTTCCTATCCTATTTTTCTAAATCTTATGTTAATTTTAATAGTAAATACTTTAGATTTATTTATACCTATAATATCCTTTATTTATATTTTAGTTCTAGTTATTTATTATTTATATAGAATAATTTAGAATGATTGGAAGAACTTTAAAGTTAACATGTGGTATATAATTAATTATTAGATATAAATATTGAATATAAAACCACATATTTGTATAATTAATAAATTAATTTTAATAAAAAATAGTATTGTTTTATTTACCGACTGATTTGCTTCTTTTATAGCCTGATATTTATATTATATGACAAAAAACAAAAAAAAACAAATAAGAAAAACAACAAGGTAAATAAAAAAAAACTTTTAGCTGGAATAGAACCCACATCATCATTGATCCTTGAAAGACGATAAAAGCGTACTCATTAACCAATCGACCACGAGCACTACGATAATTACAGTGAATATGTCGGGTCATATCAATGATTGTAAATAGTTTTAACCTTACCCATGCATTAAATTATAAAAATACGTATACCGACACAAGAATGAAAATACCAATGTGAACGTGGTGGACGAATATTTTTATACACAGTAATATGAAATTACCCACACATGTACATTGTGTAAATGACAGTAGTGTCGATGTGAGCGTTACGAACTAATTAGCGGTGCTTTGTGTACATACATATTTAATCTACTTATGATCCAAGATCAATTTTATACAGTAGTCGTAAATAAGCGAGTGCTTAATGCGGTACGAAATAGTTACAATTATGTAGAGCATAACATTAATTTAAAGATCAACAAACATAAAAACAGATGTTGGCAAGGAATATACGTCGGTCATTATTATATTAGGGTAATTTAACACACGATCGACTCATAGCCGTAATTAAAAGAATTAATAATTCACATTATAATATCCGTTACACTTTAAGGTACCGCGATTCGCTGATAGAATTGTTCAGATAAGAATAATTTTACAAAATCCGATTAGAATAGTTACTTAGTGTTTCAGTTAAATTAATACAGGTCATTACGAAAATGATTAAATTTAATTAAATTAGCACTTCGATTCAAAAGTAGTTTTTTTTATATATTTGTAAATTACTTAATAGTTCCTAATTGTATATACTTAGGTGAAATTATTGAATAATGTTAATGTTGAACGTTTCAATTAAACTATGCAAGTACAATGCATGCAGATCGATATGTACCTACAAAGTTTTCTTTGTGCTCTCAAGTTCTTTATCATGGGTCAATTTATTTGCATTCGAGTTTAAAATACCGCACGATCTGGTAAATCAGAACTGGTTTGCTCGGCTCCCCGTCCACTGTCTGTGAACTATATATGGATAATAAAGACAAAGAATTACTAAATAAATGTCTTTCCAGACAAACTCTCCATGAGCTATTTCATTCCTTATTGCCAGAGGAAAATCTGTTTTAAACATAGTAGAAGGAAATTCATTGTTTCGTTCGATTCTTAGATAATAATCATTCACAAACTGAAAATTGCAAACACACCTATCAAATGTATTGAAAACCAAATGTAGGTGAATGAATTATGTGCAGGATGGAGGCATTTAACGCAGAAACTAAATTACTCGATTGGCTGTCTGCTGACCATTCGTCTATTATTATCATCAAATAGCTTGTTTGATTGCAATTCGTAATTACCTTAGATCCTATTCTATTATAATATGCAATTTTAACATTTTGTACTAAAAGGGAGGTCAAGGAGGTAGTCAGTGCTACTACTCGGTATCCATAGATACCCTAGGTACTAGGTACAAACAACATTCGGAGTGAATACATGCACTGCTACCCACGCGTATGATCAAAACGAAACTGACTTCTTTTAATGTTTAAATTGGAAGTGATGTGAATAATTTTCGTATTTGTATAAGGTGACAGGACGTGACGCAGGTGCGACAGTTGCAATCGTTCAATTAACTTGTACTAAAATTCGCGCATTGTCCAGCGCAGTAGGCGGCCTTCGACGAGCACTTTTATCTAAAGGAACGCCCTTAATCGTTTGCGCACAAGTCTAAACTAGCGTCTGGCTGTGGTTTTTATTGAGTGCGCATTTAGAATGTACATATTTATCAAATTTACTACTACAGTGAAGTTAAGTGTTGTCATAATTTTTGCTTTTATTCGGCGTTTCTATATTTCGCACTCGGTTTGAGGATCGCAAGTAGTGAGCTTACCTCGCCGAAA